GTCCAACGGAGGCGGCCCCCGCCCGCCGCACCAGGACGCCAAAGCTACCTTGGGCCTGCAGAATTTGGAGTTTGAACAAAAAAGAAATCAGCGCTGCACTTGCAGATTTCTTGTATCGACTTTTGCCAAAATTTAGTGTCTGAAAACGTGTATGAAAAGAAATAAGTAGGAGGGAGGTAAGCTCGTAGTGTAATTATTTCATCGCTAAAGGCATTCAAAATGACATGAATTTGCCGGGAGTCAAAGCATGCTACAAAGCAGATTTCGGTTTCCAGCCGCAGCCTGGCACATGACCGCGACACGCAAAAATCAGAAGCACCCTGGCTGCGCACGACCATACCCTCGGCGCCATCGCCCCCCCCCCCCAAGGCACCCCCGACGATGCGACCAAAGAGCCAAAGTGTTTAGCCCCCATACTTGCACGAGAGGGTCGCGCGGCATCTGTCGCGAGAATGGCCTTCACCGGCATGACATCGGGGCCTTTTCGCTCGGGTGCCTGACTTTGTCGCCGCCTAGACGGGCATACCCTATATTGGGCCAGCCCCACAATTCCCCTTGGCGGAAATGGAATCTCCGCAAGCAACGGCGGGATGCCGCGATGCCACCCAGGGTGGATCTTAAGCAAGCAACCATCCTCGCTCTCTGAACAAAGATAGAATTAAAGTACATCGTTCGGCCACAACAAAGCCCCTTGCTGATTTGCTTGCCCTCTCGATGGTGCAGGGTAAGCGCGCCACCCGCCAAGGCGATGTTGAAATTCGCCGCTGAAGTAGCGATTTTGGCGATTTATTCCAGGCGCTCTATCGACGTTGGGGAAACTTGCTGATACCCTCGAGGGTCGTCCTAATAGCCCACACCGCCCCTCGTGGCCGTTCCAGCTTTTTGTCAAAATCGTTTGTTTCGTAACGAACCCCCTGTCTACATGACGCTCAAAGCTAACATCCGCAACAGTTGCAAATTCGGCGAAGCAAGATCAGCAATTCGGCAACATTGGCGAATGGTAGTGTTTGGGATCAATGTTTCATTGTTCAAAGATGACAGCAGCTCCGCTAGCTCAGTGGTAGAGCACCTCCCTAGTAAGGAGAAGGTCCACGGTTC